GTGTGCTCAACAAGAGCATCCGGATCACTTGATAGGAAAATTCCTTGGGATGGTCATTCTTAGAAAGAAAGTGAGCATCTTGGTATACATGACTATGGCTCATGCCTTGATCTAGCTCACTACGAAACCAGGCAAAAGTAAAGGTATAACCGCAGTTGCATACAAACCCGAAAGATTTCGATCCTGTGAGTGAAAAAGCCAAGCGTAAAAACAACTCTACACTATTCCATGCTAAAAGACGCATACAGTGACTAGCTAAGAGAAAATGCTAAATTCTACATTTCAACCGAGAACAATGAAACGTCCCTCTTGATTCTAGTGACAAAGAGTTACTTACTTTAACACCTAAAAGCAACGGGCTACCAAGCTTGCACGCAATCAACTCGTTCGGGTAATGCCAGCTTTTATATATAAGAGCATAAGCTCCTTCAAGATGCCTCATCACTTCAAAGACAACTTCACAAAATTGAACAGTAACTTTTAAATCTCACATCAGCATTATTAGTTACCTTCTTCATTAGCTTTGTCAAAAACAAATTTTAGCAAGCTTTGGTATAACCTCAGTATCTGTATCCGAATCAAAAGTAAATCCATGCCTCACTAAAGTTTCTTTCAACACCTAAACAACAAAAACAGAATCAAAATAAGTTCATTTCTTTTAAAAGACTCTTTTATACATAAGAGAAGAGAAGTTAAAGAACCGAACCTCATAATTAGTGATAACACCATTATGAACCACCAAAAAATCATCTCCAGGACCAGAAGATTGAGGATGACTATTCCTTGGAGCTGGCTCACCATGTGTAGCCCATCTAGTATGTGCAATTCCAGCATGAAAGTAGAAAACTTCATCTAAGTTTAAATCTGTATTCGTAATCTCTGCAAATTGAAAACAAACACAAACTCATCATTCATAAAGGCTTCAACTTTGGATTCAAATCAGAGATCTAGAGAGAAAAGTAACCTTCGTTTACAGAATTAACGAGTGATTCAATGTTTCCTGCTTGACGAAACACAAGAGGAGGGGAAGAGATTGTTGAAGAATCATCAATTGCGATTCCAGCTGAATCATAGCCTCTGTATTCAAGACGACGAAGACCATTGAAGAGAATCTCGAGAATGTATCGTCTCTCTTTGTTAGCGTGAAAATTCAAATACGCGAAGATTCCACACATTGTTTTGTTTTGTAATCTCTCTTTGAAGAATTGATTGAATTTTTTCATTAAAATCAAATGTTATTCAAAATTAAATATTTTTTAAAAAAAATATATTTTAAAATTAAATTATTTAAATGAAATCTGTTAAAGTTTCATAAGTAAATTATAAAAATCAAAATTTCAAGTACACTGCATAGATTTTAAAATTCATACGCTTTTTTTGTTGGAGTGGGTAATGCAGCGTTCACCGCTATGCGTGGCACGTGTCACGTGATGTTTCCTTTTTTGATTTCTTCGTTTTTTGTCAAAAGGTCAAATCAATTTTCTCACACGGACACCCATAATTCACACTTAATGGATGTGTAATTTGATTTAATTAATGATTTAAATTATGTTTAACGATATACTGGTATTTGATTTTATATTTGTAAATCAATGTTTAATAGTAGCTTTTAAAATCTAGAATTATTCAAATAAGAATTGAATTTTTTCATTAAAATCAAATGTTATTCAAAATTAAATATTTTTAAAAAAAATATATTTTAGAATTAAATTATTTAAATGAAATCTGTTAAAGTTTCATAAGTAAATTATAAAAATCAAAATTTCAAGTACACTGCATAGATTTTAAAATTCATACACATAATTGTTTTACGTAATATCAAACTTTAAAAATTATAAAACATACAAAATTAATTTTAAATTTAAATTCATGATTAAATAACACCTTCAAACTTTATTTGATTTTTTTTTAGTTATGTTTTATAGTCTACTTATCCTTTGGAATGATGATGCTGCCGTGATCTTGAATAGTTGATACAAGAATTGGAATCACTCCAACTTTAGATCACTTGATGATCAAGAGATTCCAAGCTTTTCACGCGGAAGGTGGGATGATGAAGGTGGTGATCTGACACGATGGCGGTCGCTTCTCTCGTGTGGGATCGATTCAAGGGGAATTGATGGATAGAAGGGTGATTGACTCGCTCAATCAGTGGGGTAATCGACTCACTCGATCAATGAACGAATGAAGGATGTTGAATCACTCAACAAACTTAATCCGCAGAATCCTGAAGTACTTGGTGACTCACTCACAAAGAACTACAGAACAATGACAAAGACTCAAACTTTGACAAGTAGAAAACGTTTCTATTACTTTAAAATGATCAAGGGTGCTTTACAATGAGACTAATGATCAGCTTATATAGGCTGAGTACAAACGTTCTAAAAGCTAAACAAAGAAACAAATCGCAACATTAAAAGAAAATATGGTCGTTGGTCCAAATAAGGCAAGTGAGGTGTGCCTTGTATCTTGTCAACTTGGGGAGGAAGTTGTGAAGTCTTGGAAGCTTCTTGATGCTCTGGAATATCTTAAGTGGACGCTCAAACAAAAGGGGAAAGATCCATGGGACATTGATGACAATCGGGTCCAAATATGGTAAGTAGAGCTCAGAATTGATCCGCTTGATCAAATGTGGTGTGGTGTATCTTAGAGCGTGTAGTGAAGCCTCTAAGTGATCTAGATACTCTCCAGGTCGCCAAATAAAGCTTTGAGGCACGTCCAAGTATAGAATAAGGAAGATTTCCTTATTTGGCTTCATTTGGTGCGGTACTTCAGAAAGTAGTTCAGCGAGTAGTTCAGCAAGTAGTGCAGCCGGTCTGTCAGCAAGTACATCAGCTATATGTACTTGTAACATCTTCGAATCAATTTCTTGGTAAATGATTCCTTGATGACTTGATGTTGCCTCGTTAAAAACCTTTCTAGGTAAACCCATTGGGACAAACCCTAGATAAGGGAAAAAGAGTGCAACGTTCAAATTTCCCCAACATGGTGATTCGGCTCGCTGGTCTTTGATTCCTCCTGAACTATCGTTTGTCTTCTTAGGATTAATTTGCTGGTGAATAATTAACCCTAGGCCTTGTGCTTGATTATGACTCCATTTGGGCAAGAATCCTCCAAAATGCTCCATATCAACCGGTTTGATACATGTACCGGTAGGTTTGGTATACTCCCGGTTTGGTTTGATTTGGATGTCCGCATCAATAGTGCCCACATGGGAATAAAAAACATATATTTTCATCACTATAGTCTATAGTGGTAACATTGACAAAAAAAAAAAAAAGTCTATAGTGGTAAATTATTGGATTTTTTTTTCATGTGAAGCACTATGCCAAAACAATATATTGGGGATTGGGCACCACTATAATCAAATATTGATAATAAAAAAAAAAAACTCATTTTTCAGAATTTTCTAGATGTACAGAAACACGTTATTATATCCTACCAAAAAAAAAAAAATCACGCTTTTATAATCAAGAAAATTAACAAACTTTTCACAAAATAATGATTTTTGTGGATAACAGTCATTTCATGTTTGATATTATAATGGAAAGCCTTATGCTGTTTTAATTGATAGATCCTTTCAAACTTTCCCTAATTTTAAATATAAAAACGGCACCACGTTTACTCATACTCTTAGCGTTTAACCAACTCATCGACTCATCATTTTTTTACTTCATTTCCAAGAAATTGAGAGAAAAGAAATCGACGCCGTTTTTTTCACATCGTTGTCATGGAAAGCAAGAAAGCGAAGCTTGCAACAAAGAAGATCTCCGAATACTTGAGAACAAGCAGAGGAAGCTTAGATCCGATTCCGCATGATCTCATCCCTGATATACTCAAAAAGTTGCATGTTAAAACCCTAGCAAGATTCATCTGCATATCCAAACAATATGCATCGATTATTCGCAACAAAGATTTCAAGAAATCGTACTTGACCAAGTCCTATACTCATCCACAAAGTCTCATCTTCACATTTGATGACAATATTTACAAGAAACGTGTCTTCTTCTTCACATTTGATCATCATATTCTTTAGCAACTTATCATATGAATTGACTTGGCCAAATATTGTACGTCGTGAACAACGTTGTTTTACAGTTTAATGGAAGTTGTTAACGTTGACTTAACTTCGTCAAATTGATTTGTTAGTTGACTTCACTAATTTTAACCAAAAAAATAGAACACACGGATTTGATCAACCCAAACCAAATCCAAATTAACATATTTAACTAAAACAGGTTTAGTCTACCTTAGGCTCCGAATGGAGAAAGCGAATCAGGCGGAGCGGATCAAACGGTTTAAGCGGAACAAGTGCGGATCAAACAGATCTCGCAGAACTAGTGGGGTCAAACGGATCTAGCGGTTCAAAATGTATATTTGAATGGTGCAAGCGGATCAAATGATGCATATCAAATATTTATATTGTCAAAAATATAAATTGTAGATAAAATATTTTACATAATATGTGATGTGATAATGGAAAGCTTGGATCATGGAGCTAAGGATCAGCATGTACCAGAGGACATACTCGACCACCAAGCAGGAGATGTGATCGAGCAGGACATTGCACCAGAGGAACACTTGATCGAGCATGGAGCTAAGGAGCATGGAGATGAAGTTCTTGGAGCTAAAGAGGACGTTGCTTTGCAAGTTGCTACTGGACCAATGACGAGATCAAGGACTAAGCAGTTGAATCAAGCTATCAACACACTTCTACAACAGAATCACAAATTCACAATATATTGACAATATTTATTTAAAAAATAAACCATATAATTTTTTTCTTAAAAAAAAAAGAACATGCGAATCATTATTGTACATCCACAAATATGGGGTGTGGTTACTTTTACATGTGGTTCGTTAATTTTGTTCATGAAATTGAACCGCATTTCAAAACAAGGAATGCAATATGCTTTAATTAAAATGGTGAATGGAGAAAGCAGTCCGACCGTTTAGCGTGACATCTGCCCCAGATCCACTATTCCATTTTTTTTGTTAACACTGATTTTATTATTTTATTACAAATTATGAGAATTATTACATCTCCTCCCTCTATGAAGAAAATCATTGAATTGGCAAAGACGCGTGACTCGACGCCCGAGCAACACTTTTCTCTCATCTCAGATCCAGTTTCGCCGCCACCTTCTCACTGTTCCGGAGGCTATCTCCTTCACCCGCTCCTTTGCCGGCGTCGTGAGATAGCCTCCATCTCCCTTTCTCGAGCTTCATCGCCGGTCTTGGTCTCGCAAAGGCCTTAACGGGAGTGAGCATCATCCTTCTCACCGACAGCAACGGCCTCGCCTCCATCGATATTACGGCCGCTCCTCCAACTTGGCGGCGAGGTTTGAAGTCGCCGGCGTGCTTTCAGTGAAGCCCTCGGCTCAGCCGCCAAAGAGGAAGCTTCTGTAGCGATGGAAGTTGATGGTGGCGCTGACTATGGCTAATCAGTCTCGCGGAATCGGAAGCGACAGTTTGGATTTAGCCACCAACTTCGCAACCGTTGCCTTGGTGCTTCCGCTGGACTGGATCGAGGAGATGATGCTTGGGAAACTCGGAATTCGCCGGATCTGGAGGAGAGGTGTTAGATCCGAGTGTGACAGATCGCTCCGACTAGGATCTGTCATCGGAGAGCCGTTCGTAGGAGGTGTACGCACGTTGGGAAGCCTGTAGCAGGCTGGTGGATTGCCGGAACAGCACCGGAGCCGGAAACCGAATACTTTCGGGGATGGGTCAGTTCCAAAGATCCGGCCACAAAGCCGCGACCTTGTATTCGCCGGCGTTAATGCTAGGCGCCTCTGCTTCCGGTCAAATCGCTAAGGTCCGATCCAATTTTCCGACGCCGGAACTAGGTTTCCGTTTAGGCCCATTTTGTAACCGTTTTAAGGCTTTTGTAATATGGGTCAAAGACCAAATCCCATTATGTGGAATTTTTTAATAATATTAATATTTTAAGTAAAAAAGAAAAAAAAAGAAAAAAATAAATGAAACTAAATAATGTAAAATATAAAAATAGTACAAATAATAAAATTAAAATATTAAAAAGATATATAACATAATAATGGAATTTTAAAATCAGAACTTGACATATGTCATCGTCACTTAAATAACTTTAAAAACCAAAATTTTTAATTTACATGATAAAATTGTTAGCTTTCCTTTTCTATATTTTTTATATATGTTAAAATCTTAGATCACTAATTAGACAAATGTCATGATCCCGTTAATGACTAACTTTGAAATGAAGCTTTATTCTATGCTCACTTATATACTGTACGTCCAGGCCTGTATACAGATTAGGCCTGGACAAAATACTTGAACCGAAAGAACTGAATCAGAATTGACCGAAATTTAGAGATACCGAATCGAACCGGAACCGGTCTAAATTACCTAATGGATCCTAAATTCTATACCCAAAGAACCAGAACCAAACCCGATATCCAGTAGGTATCCGAAAGTATCTGATATATAAACATATACCTAAATATAGTAGTTATATGTATACTTGTAATAACCTAAATACTTAAAATTATAATTATAAACCCGAATGTAGTAGATACTTTTTTATAATTTAAGTAAATTTGGATACATTTTAGTAAAAGGTAACTAGTATTTTAATTTTTTTTTGGGTATTTTCGCATAAATTTGGGTAAAAAGTAATCAATATTTTTTTTTTTGGGTATTATCGGGTATTTTTGGGTAATTTGGATAAATTTAGATACATTTGGATAAAAAGTAACCAATCCGGACGGTACCCGATAAATATTCAGTTATTTTCCGGTTCTTCAATCAATTATCCGAACCGACCCAAACCCGAAAAATACCGAACCAAAATTTTATAATATCCGAATGGATCCTAAATCTTTAGTACCGGAATACCCAAAACCCGAAATACCCAAACCGAACTCGAACCGATACCCGAATGCCGAGGCCTAAATTACATATTAATATAGCCCAAAATAAAAACTCTTAACGAGATATCTAGATCCTTCCCAACCCTAACATATATATAATAATAATATATATACGGCAGATGGTGAAATAGTTGGAAAGAAAAGCGAGAAACTTTAGAAGAAAAACATGGAGCTGAGAGTTTGTTCGTAAAAAAAAAACGAAAAGGGATGTGACCAAATCCGTGGAGTCCAGTGACTTTGAGACCTCTACCGTTAGCTCCCAGGTCGGCAATGGATGCAACCAAGTCTTGAACCGGAAGCGCAAACTGAAACAAAAGCCAGCGGAGGTTGCTTCTGATGTGGAAGTTGACTCGGACGGTTCGAGAGAGGCGAGGATTAGGTATCTGTCTTCCCTCAAAGCTTCGGCATCAACAGATTCTTCGCATCTTAAGGTCTTCCTCGCTGAAGTATATGTAAGTGCAGGGATATGAGATTCGACCGGCCCGATTCCACTTATATTTTTAATAATCTCTAATCTAAAATTAAAATTTCCAATTTTGTTGATAGGAATTTTTTTGGATTTAAAATTCTCTTCTAAGTTTATAATATCTCATTAATAACGTGTATTTAAAATAATGAGGCGGAATTTTTTTAAATATTTTTGAAAATAATAATTAAAAACTAACTAAAGGTGTTAATTGTAATTACACCAAGAACACTAAATATATGAGTAATGTTTAGAAATAGTATGATATATTACTAATATTCCTATTTTTCTATGACATTTGAATAATTTTTTCTTAAAAGTTAGTTGTCAACTACCTAATTTTAATTTCCAGTTCTTACAAAAAGATGTGATACGAGTCCATTTCTTACTTCGAATCTTGATGTAAAATTATGCACTTATTTAACTAATAATATATTAAAGTTTATGGTTCACGCACGATCAGGGAGTGGAGGAAGATTCTTGGCTTCCTTCGAAGGAGTTTGGGCAATTGTTTCCTTAGTTTGAGCTCGAGGACAACAAGCTGGTTATCCGGGAAAGGAGTATTGATACGGTGCACCAGCGGTATTCTCGAAGGAAGCCGTTGAAGGACAACAAGCTGGATTGATGTGCTTGAGCTCGAGCACGTAGATCTTTTGTTTTGTTATCAGATTAAGCTACTCTTGTAATCGGATTTGTTAATTACAATATCAGTAAACTTCAAATTCTACTCTAGTTTTACATGGACAGTGTTGTGAGAGATCGAGAGTACAAGGATCTATCATAATAGTCACTAAATCTTACACATGACGACGACAATAGCTTCTACCTTAAGAAATCATGATACGGAGAAAGTGGGCAACACTTTCCCCGAATAGTGACAAGTTTAAACATATTCTCAGAAAGTTATCTCAATAGAGATTTGGTGACAGGAAACAGAATGATAGAAACACGAACAAAGAAGCTGGAAGTTACAAGATGACAGAAATGAGGAAATCCTTTGCCTAAATCCATAACCAAAAACAGTAATTCGTGAGAAAACAAATCTAATAGTTTGAGAGAATGAATCGTATCCATATATAGCAAACAAATTTGTTAGATATTTCAAATAATTTAGTTAAAGAGCATTAATTAGGCTTTTTCTACGTACAAGCTTGCGACCTTTGAACATTCACCCAGATTCCAACTTTGTGATTCTAAGAACTTCAACTCTCATTACACCTACTGGAAATATTCCATTCCAGTAGCTCCTCCAATGACTACTGTAGCAACGGCTCCTGCTACGGCTCCGGCAACAACAGCCCCAGCAGCAGTAACAGCTGTTATACCTTTGAGGTAGCCACTTCCGGAGGAGAGTCTCCCCAAGATCACTTTGCAGGACTTGTCAGCTTCTTTGTAAATAGAACAAAGAGCTTCTCTTTCAGTGATGGCTTATTTGTTCTAATAACATCACAGGTCCGGTCGGAAAATGAAAATTCAGCTCAAAAAGAGTGGAGGGTGAAATTAGTTGAATAGCTTAGAAGAGTAAAGATGCATTTTACCTTTAGCCTGAAGCTATTCATGGCCCGATTGAGGGTGAGAGTATCACTTGGTGTTGATATTAGTTTGAGAGAATGATCCTTCCATTCGTCTACAAGCTTTTTAAGAAGAACAACACTAGCTTCTAGGTTCTCCTTATATAGAATGTCCCACTGCTTAAAGCAATCAACATTTGCGGTCAAAGACCCGATAGCAATTTCTGTAGCTTCCTTGGCTAAAACAGGATTTCCTATAATAACGGTAACACATTACAAGTCTATTTGAAGAATAGATCAGAGGGACGCAGAAAAGTTAAGGTTTCATTTGTTGGTACTACTTAGTAATAATACCTTCTCCAGCTAATTTCAACGAAAAACCAAATATCTCTCTGCTTCCTGGTGCAAGAGCTAC